ACGTTGATATTCTGACGACGAGCCAAAGAGCTAACTTGTTGGTAATGTTGTCCTTAGGTGATGACCCCCCTTCAGGAAGTGCCAGAAAAGAAAATATCACGGGTTGGCTTAAGCTTTGTGAGGGAAACAATTCGGAATTTGTGCTTTCAAAGTGACAATTTTTCTGATGGCATTATAGAAGGTCTTTAGAATAATTGGCAATCTATACCGGATGTGGTCGCCGGCAAATTGTCCAAATCAGTGCTTAACAGCAAAATTGTCTTATTGTTAGATTAAGCTTTGAACCGTTGCCTCTCGGAAACGATTAAAGATATCTTACCGGAATTCTCCGAGGTTTTTATAACACTATTGGTCTCTACTTTGAACAATAAAAATGTATTTAGCTCTAAGTTGAAATGTTCTTTGGGTTTTTTTTCCAGTCTTATGACATCCTGATCCCATTTTCATTTCTACTGTTCACACTTTTATAAACTTATTCGCTGTTCTCATGATGCTACTTAAATGGACTTTGAAAATGGAAGCCAGAGTATGAAACCTGGCACCATTACTGAAGACCTGAAGTATCTTTTTTCCTCTCACCATTGCTCATTTGGGAAGATATAGTGAGTCTAACATAAAAAACAATTTCGACCTGTTCTATTTGTAGCTGAATAACTCAAAGTGCTTTTCAGTGATTCTTACAACACATGGGGCCAAGATGGCTAAACGTCGTTTCGGAAAACCTGAGAAAAAGAAACTCAGTTTGTTTTGTGTTTTTATACATAATAAACATTTTGTGAGATAGACAATTATCCCATGCTATTACACAGAAAGTTAAACAATATTTCTGTAAGTTAATATCTACACACACACACACACACATTACACATATATATATATATATATATATATATATATATATATATCTATCACAGACAGACAGTATTTTCCTGTATCACAGCTCATCATCGAATTCTATCTATACGATTGCTTCTATCTGGAATCAAAAAGTTAATATACTGTTTTGGCATCAGTCGGAAATTTTATATATATATATATATATATATATATATATATATATATATATATATATATATATATAAAGTGATATTTTTATGTTTAACGTTCTTTTTATTGATAAGTATTTAATAAATGCTCTGTTTATAATAAACAGTATTAAATAACATTTATCTATCTAAGAATTTATTATAAACTGAGCATTTATCTTAAATATACTGTGTATCTATAAAAAGAACGTTAAATCATAAAAATATTTTTAATAAATAAATTATCGGACTTTGTCTATTTTTTAATATATATATATATATATATATATATATATATATATATATATATATATATATATATATATATATATGAAAATCTTTTTTTTAAAAGTAAATATTTATAGAGTCCTCAGTAAATCTAGCTACATCTACATCCTTAATAATACTGATTCCATGGATCCTGAGTGGAAGGAACTTGCTTCGATAGTGAATCGTCCGGCACTTGATGCCCTTTGGAAGATTTCCAGTCATGCTGTAAACAACATTGCAAGGTTGTTTAAAGATCTATCTATCTATTATTCACAACGAAATTTAGAAAACTTCCAAAGCATCAGCGATAACAATTTTCTATCTATATCTATCAATCTATCAATCTTGTAGAACACGAAATGTCACGCTTTTGAATAAGTCCGCATATTGGCTATTCTATCTATCTTCCTATGGAGCATTTTTCTACAAATCAGATTTCCGACTAAGTTCATATTCTTTGTATTTATCAAAGTTATGAAATGCACAAAAGAATTTAAGCCAGACAATACACTTGGTAATTAGCTGATGTTTTTCCAGTCATTCCAATAAATAATACAATAAATAAATATAATTTATTATTTTTACTGTCAAATCTGAAGCACAAAGAAAATGTATAAATTCACTTTCATCATATTTTTAGGTTTTGTTTATATTTCTGAGATGAGGTATTATGTCATCTATTTACTAATTGTTCAGACATTTATTCATCTTTATTGTCATATTTGTTGCGGAGACATGGCATATAGTGGATAAAATATTTAGTTAGATCCAGTGACAGGAGCCAAATTTTTTGAGTTCAATCTTGTTTAAGGCGGTGGAGCTCTTTGAAGAAGGGAATTATTAAGGCGATATGGCTAGTTTGTGTAACTAGAACAGTCTATCCCGGCGAGCGAAATAAAGGGTGCAGTTAGATATGCCGACCACCTGAAGAAGGTCGGAGCGTACAACGGCCGAAACGTTGTGATATATATGGCAACAAAGCTGAGGACGATAGTCCGAACAATTTAAATAGTGTCTTTAGGTTTTGTTACAATTCTAATCATCGCTTTTTAAAACAATAAACATTGCCAAAGAGTGAAGGTAGTTAAACTAATAGCGGTGTCAAGGGAAAACCCGTCCTTTTAACACTCTGTTTAACACACATTTATTCATGTTTACCATAAACGCCTTACTATCTGGGTCCTGTTTGTTTTAATGGTTTCACACAAACGATAAAAGGCGCTAAGATGCAAGTAGTTACCGAAAATGAAAGAAGGAGAGAGCACAATAAAGGAACAGGTTTCAAGGAGATAAAAGTTGACGATTGACGTTGCATTTAAATTTTTCATTAAGATCGCACCTGACAGGAAAGCAAGTAGTCAGAAAACAGTTTCACAAGCAAGAAGTACAAGAGAAGAAATTTAGGGTTTCAACAGTGAAATTATGAGACCTATCTGCCAATCTAGTGCTACGCTTACGATAAATATCATATACTAATGCCATTTTATAAAATTTATATACTAATGCTATTTTATATTTCTACCAATTCTCAGCGCGCTTATATGGAAAGTCTTGTTTTTTGTTTTGTTTTGTTTTTTTGTTTTTTGTTTTTTTTTTTTTTTTTGTTTTTTTGAAGAAAATTACATAACTACAACGGATAAATTGAAAAATCCTAAAATAACTAGAACAGATCGGGGTCGCGCGTGTTTTTAAAATCACTATGACAACGGAAAGCAGATTTCATTGCAGATATAATGGCATGTTTGTCCTCGTAATTTACCTCTGAAGATGATCTTAGAAAAAGTCGAAATTACTTGAGTTAAAAAAAAAAACTACGTCTCCTTCCTTGGCTAATTTCATTGCAAAAGCAAATAAAAATATAATCAATTTAAAAGCAGTAATTTGAGCCTTACTAAACGAAAGCACTCTATGGCTGAATGGTCAGAATTGTGACCGTTTCATATAAGATACAGGTTCGATTCCTGTCGGAGTGACGCATATTTTCTACGAAATTTCTCGAGCATTTAGGCCTGAAAATGTAATTAATACCGTTTAATTAAAAAAAAAACTAGCTTGAATAAGTGTATTGGTAAAAAAAAAAAAACAACGTATAAACAGTAATATAATCAATTTATACAGGGTGCGATGGGTAAATTGCCGCCATTTTATATTTCTAATTTCGCGCATGCCCATTGTTTTAGATTTTGTTAACTGCACACTATAGTAGAGTTAGTTGGGTACCGTCTGTGTGAAAAAGAACACCATGACACAATTCACTCCGCCAGAAATTTGAAAACGGCATGCTGTACTGTTTGGCATTCGTGCCGGAAGCTAAAATACGAACATTTAAGAGTGTTTGCTTGTCAATCTGAAGACACTACAGAGGATTCGAAAAGAACTGGATGAGTCTAATGGGGATTACAAAGATGTTTGGAATGATCACTAGTGGTGGCGACGTTATGCCTCCATTCATCTTCCTACAGGACCTCAGACTCAACACGGAGGCCTACATCAAGTGTCTTGAGGAGTTGGTGCTGTCCTGGGTCAAGAGGGTGGTTCCTGGAAGACCCTATGTCTGGCAATAAGGCACTGCACAATGCCATACAAGCAGATGAATCTAGTCATGGCTGTCAGACAATTTTTGCAACCATATCACCGCTTACATATGGTCACCTAACTCCCCAGACGGCAAACACCTTGATTATGTGTGAGGCACAGTTGAGCGATCAACAAAACTCATTGTAACGCCAAAAGATTAACTGAACGCAAAGATTATGGCAGCATTCATCAATTAAACAAGGAGACTACCTAGAAGAGATGCAGGAGATTCCGAAGTCGTCTGGGGGCCTTGGTGGAAGCCAATGGCGATTTTATTAAATAAATATACTCTTTAATATTTCAAGATATTTTTGTGTAATTTTGGAAAACATATCTGCTAAAATGTGACGTCAGCATTATTTTCATTTTTGCGTAATTTAGATGACAATTTATCTATCGCACCTTGCGCACACACACACACACACACACACACACACACACACATATATATATATATATATATATATATATATATATATATGCCAATGTGTTCCTGTCTATTTATTTGGCCCTATGACCCTTATTAAACAAAGCCATTCAAATTTATCGCACATATATTTTTCAATATCGCAACGAATGTAAACAATAGATCCCTTGCTTCCTTTAATGGCTGAGTATAAAAATACCGCCTGTCTTTTCCCTTCAAAGTAATTATTCTGAACAAATTTCAAAGTATGAAGGGGCAACGAAAGAGGAACTTCTCTCCCGCCTATTACGCATCGTGCATGATCGATTCAATGCAATCTCCCAGCTCTCTACTGTTTGCTGCCTGAGGATAAGTCAAAAATATCTATTAACACGATAGGCTGTCGCGCCTTTCACAGTTCTGTTGGAAGACATCTACGTCATTTAATAACGCTTTTGGGGTGAAGAAGGAAAGAATTCATCGAAGAACGTCTTAAAATAGACTAAAGAGGAATTTGGCCAAGGGAAAATAAAGGAAATAAGAAAGAGCCACACATAATGGCGAATAGAGCGATAGATTGTTAGGTTAATAGAAGAATGTAAATGAATAAGGAAATGGAACTATGATCTTTACACGTAAAGTGAATATAATGAATCCGACTGGAATTCGAACTCAGTTCTCCAATTTCCAATTTTAAGCCGTTATCCATGACGCATTACAAGATTACAGCGCTTGGTATTCCCAAACGGTCACCAATCTACGAACCAAACTCGACGTTGCTTAACTTCGGTGATCGTACGAGACCGGGTGTTTTACGGTGATATGACAGTAAGCTGAAAAGAGAAGAGGGTATCGAGAAAGAGAGAGCAGAAACGTACAGAGAGAGAAAGAGAGGAGGGGGAAGAATAGAAAAATTAGAAGAGCGAGTAAAGAACGAAAAGCGAGAGCTAAGAGAGAGAGAGTGTGTGTGTGAGAGAGAGAGACAGAGAGAGGGAGAAGAAAAAAAGAATTAGAAAAGCGATAAATATACGAGAAGAGAGAGCAAAGAGATTGAGAGAGAAAGGATATAAAAGTTAGAAGAGCGAGAAAAGAAAAAAGAGAGATCTAAGATATATATATATGTGTGTGTGTGTGTGTATTTCTCTCTCTCCTTCTCCCTCTCTCTCATACATATATATATATACATATATATATTTATATATATATACAGAGAGAGAGAGAGAGAGAAAGAGAGATAGAGAGAGGGTAGAGAGAAACCTCATAGATTGAGATGATATAAGGTGGGTGATAATTATGCCTTTCTAACCACCCATAAATTTTAATAAGCATCTTACAATAAATATGCATAAACATTACATAGATATAAGCAATGTTGTTCATTCTTAGGAATACATTTAAGCTTCTTCTAACAAAAATAAACTTCAATAAGCAAATACAGTCAATTGGCAAAGATTTAACGGCATACCTATATTTGCTACAGATGCACGATCAGGCTAGAATATATTACGTTCATAATTTCAAATATACGTTTAGCAAACACTGGCAAAAAAAAAACTTTTCTATATATAAAGGAAGGAATGAACATTAATGATATAAAAGTTGGAAGAGCGAGAAAAGAAAAAAGGAATGAATGAACATTAATGATAAAAAAATTAAGGTAATATGTGTGAAGGGGTTTCATAAAGGTTATCAGCACAGGTAAGAAAAACGGCAGACCGTTTATAAGGAAGGAATTAACATTAATGTAATATGTGTGAAGGGGTTTCATAAAGGTTATCAGCACAGGTAAGAAAAAACGGCAGACCGTTTTTAAGGAAGGAATTAACATTAATGTAATATGTGAAGGGGTTTCATAAAGGTTATCAGCACAGGTAAGAAAAACGGCAGACCGTTTATAAGGAAGGAATTAACATTAATGTAATATGTGAAGGGGTTTCATAAAGGTTATCAGCACAGGTAAGAAAAAACGGCAGACCGTTTTAAGGAAGGAATTAACATTAATGTAATATGTGTGAAGGGGTTTCATAAAGGTTATCAGCACAGGTAAGAAAAACGGCAGACCGTTTTTAAGGAAGGAATTAACATTAATGTAATATGCGTGAAGGGGTTTCATAAAGGTTATCAGCACAGGTAAGAAAAACGGCAGACCGTTTTTAAGGAAGGAATTAACATTAATGTAATATGTGTGAAGGGGTTTCATAAAGGTTATCAGCGCAGGTAAGAAAAACGGCAGACCTTTTTTAAGGAAGGAATTAACATTAATGTAATATGTGTGAAGGGGTTTCATAAAGGTTATCAGCACAGGTAAGAAAAACTGCAGACCGTTTATAAGGAAGGAATTAACATTAATGTAACATGCGTGAAGGGGTTTCATAAAGGTTATCAGCACAGGTAAGAAAAACTGCAGACCGTTTATAAGGAAGGAATTAACATTAATGTAATATGCGTGAAGGGGTTTCATAAAGGTTATCAGCACAGGTAAGAAAAACGGCAGACCGTTTTTAAGGAAGGAATTAACATTAATGTAATATGTGTGAAGGGGTTTCATAAAGGTTATCAGCACAGGTAAGAAAAACTGCAGACCGTTTTTAAGGAAGGAATTAACATTAATGTAATATGTGTGAAGGGGTTTCATAAAGGTTATTATGGCGAGAGCAGAGTGTTAAGAATTGCGTAAATGCACTAATGCATCACAAATGACGCATGTCTTAATAACGAAAATTTGTAATCGTTTTTTTTTTCAGTTTCAGTTAAATTTTTCTTTTTGGAAAGGTTTAAGTATAGTTTTTGATATTTTACCACACGCTTGCTTCCCTTTGTTTTAACCAGTGGTAATGTGATTCTTATGTATTCCAACTTTTAATATTTAACCTAACTAGACAATAATAGAGCTTCTATGGAAAAGATTACAGTCTTGTTCCGCACATTCGATGACTGCCCTGTCCATCCGTTTTCATCACATACGCGCGTGTTTCAGAAGGGTTTCTTTACATCGTTACAATATTGCAAATCTGAATTTGATTCAACTGGATGAAACCACTGAATAGGATTACAGATAAAAAAACGAGAGATATAGAGACTGGGGGGGTGGAATAAATTTATTTCTATTTCTACAAAGACTTAAAGGAGATTACTTAGATACAAAGACAATGAAATATTATTTGAATAAAGTCATACTTCCATACAACTGATCGGTCACTAAATTTATTAGGATGAACATAAAACATTTCTTCTTCTTCTTCTTCTTCTTCTTCTTCTTCTTCTTCTTCTTCTTCTTCTTCTTCTCCTCCTCCTCTTCCTTTTTCTTCTCCTCTCCCTTCTTCTTCTCCTCCTCCTCCTTCTTTTTCTTCGTTTTCTTCTCCTACTTTTTCTTCTCTTCCTTCTTCTTCTCTTCCTCCTCCTCCTTTTCCCCTCCTCCTCCTTCTCTTCCTCCGTCTTCCTCTTCTTCTTCTTCTTCTTCTTCTTCTTCTTCTCCTCCTCCTCCACCTTTTTCCTCCGTATATATATATATATATATATATATATATAAACACAACATAAACACCACTCCTTGCCCACGTAATAACACTCTTTCTACGTCAAAACACTCATCAGTTGCCTCAACCTATCTTGATGATAAAAGAAATTCGAAATCATGGACCACATTTCTTCCGAAATTAAATTTTGGAAATGTCTGACAGGAATTTCCTCCTTATTCGTAAATTGGGAAGGACTATCAATAAAAGTAATCGTTATAAAATATATGTTGACTTTAACACGCACACATAGATAGATAGATAGATAGATAGATAGATAGATAGATAAAAATGACACAGGCCAAGTACTTTCGACAATTTCAAATTGTCATCTTCAGAGAGCAATTTTCTAATATACAGGCAAATGCTAAGAAGAAATATGTGTAAACCGAAAGATGTTTTGTTAATTATGCTATTTATCTTAAAATTTGTGGAAAACTACTGATGTGTCTTACATCTGACATAACTCAAATATAAGGATCTTATTATGCAAGTAACTGATAAGTTAATGTCTCATTAAGTCTTGTTAGGGAAGTGATTTCTTCATTAATCACATTAACATTGCTATTTAATTCTTTGTATAAATTTTTCTTTGTGATATAAAATATAAGCTGCATATATATATATATATATATATATATATATATATATATATATATATATATATATATATATATAGGGTGGGACAGAAATATATATATGTATGTGCGTGTGTAATAAAGAAACAAGCAGAAAGACACCTTTTGGTGTCTGGTCATCGGAATTAATAAGGTTATTTGATTTATGGTAACCTCTTCTCCTCTTTTTTTAACATAAAGTTTTGCCTTTCATTCTAACCTGAAGAAGCCAAACGCAGCAGATGTTTTTCGTCGAAAAGCCTCGTTCTCGATTTTCCATTTTATCTTCACTTTTGTTTCGGATACTATTATACAGCCTGCAAACGTAAATAAATACATTTGCTGATAATTTTGGTCATATTTACTACTGTAAATATGAAATCTACAGAGACTGTAATTCTGTGGTAAATATACATTACATGTGTACGTAAATCGTGTAAACAGTTTTTGACGGCGTGTATTGTATACTTATCTCTCCATTGAGCAAATTTTCAAGGCGTCGCTCATATTAGACAAGATCATAATATGCGGGATATTGGTTCAATATAGATGAAAAATAGTCAAAAACATATAATAATAATAAATTTCATCGCTGTGTGTCTTTACCTATGAAAATAAAATTTCTCCGGAGCAATGTTTTCCTTTGACTGAAACATTTTGAGAATCTGTGCTTGAAATAAAACGCAAAACATTTCTTTCAACATTATGGGATGGATTTCATCTGATCTGCCCTATGAAGCACTAATCTGTTTTCCTGACACAAGATGTCGGTCCGGAAATACGCCATATTGGCTGGCTTGAGTTAACCTCTCCACAGACCTCTCGTCTGCATCGGTGTTGTGAATTCATTTTTAGTAAGGAAAGTATATGAAAGTCAGACAATAGAAAGACAATGCTTAGTGATGCGTCAGGATGAAAAAATTGTTTTTGCAACGATTTTCCTGTCTGTCCGAGAATTCCTATGATTCTTCTTAAGAGTTTTTATTTAATCTGTTGCGATGAAATAGAAAACAGAAAATAACAATGTTAGATATTTAAATGCTTTTTCTACTATATAAATATATCATTCGGACATTTATTACATTTATATATATATATATATATATATGTGTGTGTGTGTGTGTGTGTGTGTGTGTGTGTGTGTGTGTGTTTATATGCATGTATGTATGTATATATGTATAATCTCTGATATAACTACTATATATAAATATATATATACTCTTAAAAATACCTCCTATATATATAATCTAAAAACACTACTACACACACATATATATATTCTTAAAAACAACTACTATATATATACAGTATTTACATTAGTCGGACTATTGTCCTCATCTTTATCGACAAAGATGAGGACAATAGTCCGACTAATGCCGACAAAGATGAGGACAATAGTCCGACTAATGTAAATACTGTACATAATACCTCATCTCAGAAAATATATATATATATATATATATATATATATATATATATATATATATATATATATATCGATAGATAGATACATACATACATATATATATATATATGTATATATTTTTATTACTATTTTTATTTTTTATTATTATTAGCATTATCATCATTATGATTACCACAATTATTATCATCATTACCACTGTCATTATATTTTTTATTATTTTCTTTATTATTTTTATTATCTGTGTATTCTTTATTTCTTCGTTTTTGTTGC